CATGAGCCGGCGCTGAGCACGCCGGGAAGGGCCGCGCCTGCGCACTGCGCCCCGCGCCCCCTCGCCAGCGTCCCCCGGCGGCGGGAGGAGGGAGCGGCGCCGGCGCCATTGCAGCCCCTCAGAGCCGTCCCAGTGCGGACCGGACACCGGCGGGGGCCTGGGACCGGGGACTGGGAGGGCAGGGGGCAGTTGGAATGCTGCCCCCGCCTCAGCTGCCCCTCCAGTGGCAAAGAAGCTGCCTGCCCGAACAATAAGAAGCCCAGGTTCCTTCGGGTTCTCACAGCGCTCGTCGTGTGTAATCTGCGCTCGGAGCTTTTATTTAATCATTATTTAGTCCCTGAGCCACGGAGAGCGGCCGAAGGAGGCCACGGGGATGGGGAAGGGTCTGGAGGGGAAGCCCTGAGGGGGCTTGGGTTGTTCTGCGGAAGAAGAGGAGGCTGAGGGAGGACCTCCCTGGAGTCTCCAGCGTTCTCCCGAGAGCAGGGGATTGATCTGTGCGGTGACAGTGACAGGAACCGAAGGCAGGGCTGTATTTATGCTCGTCACTATTTGATGATGCAGATGAACATGCAAGACTGTCTGCAAAGCCAAACACAACCTCCAGCCCTGAAGCGGATAGATCTGGCACCTCAACCTCAAAACATTACAAACATTATCTCTGTATTTATCAGAAAGTCTTTATCTCCAGCATTGCTTCCGACTGTGCTACTTGTGTAGTTTATTTCTCCGTGGTTAAATGAAAAAATAAATAAAATAAAGCTACTACTTCCCCTCCCACTTACGCTGCTTTCTATTAACCCAGTCTTTCTAAAAGCATTTACAGATGTGTCTGTTTTCATAATGACAGTGAAAACTTCTTAAATATAAGAAGCAATTATCTTCATTTTATTTATAGAGGCTCAAGCATCTTCCTATGGTTTCTTCCTTTAGCAATGTCAGCATTTTTTAAAGGAAGGATTGATATAAATCACATGTCTGTAACCTTGTGGAAGAAAAAAAAATCAGCAAGGCACTACTTTTACAGCTTAAGAATCCCACTGAGAAAATAACTATGTATCCTATGTTGAAGGAATTAAATAATTAATTGCATCAAAAGGTACTGAGAGAAATCCCTGTGGATTGAAATGTCACAGAGCAATACCACAGCATGACAGCCACAGGGGGAAACTCAAAGGAGATTAGAGTCTGCAAAGATGGAAAACACGATAGCAACAGGAGATTTCAGTTCCTTCTCAGAACAAGTCATAACAGGGAGGGTAAAGGTTGAATTACCAGACCTGTAAATAACTATCTATTAAAGCCATGAGTGAGATAACTAACAAGGAGAGAAGCAGCTCTTGGTTAAGTCTAGAAAGTGCATTAGGCATGGATCAAAACCAGTCCATCGCTGTTTGTAGTAATAGCCGCAATGTATTTGTACACACCCATTTAGGAGCAAAGGAGCCAAGAAAATCCTTCTCATTAAACTGGGGGGGTTGCAGGCAGATAAAGAAACCTCACCCTGCTGCTAAGGTCTCAGACAGATGAAATGGAGGAGAAATGTATGAGATCATCCCCAACACTACACATCTTGAAGGTTGGTGAATTGTGGCTGAAATCTCCTTTTCAGCTACATCTGCAAAGATGGGGGAGCACTGGCCAGCTCTGTGCCTCCTACAGACCCTCACAGATGCTGAAGTCTGATCTTCCAGCTATTTTTTCCTTTTTTTTTCATTTGTATTTCAAACCTTTCCATGTTTGCTTTTCCTCCTGAATCCCACCCATCATTGCTGTGTCACCAGTCCCACCTCTGTACCTGCCTTTCTAATCTCGTGGCTTTGTCTTTCTGTTTTCTTGCAGCTCTTTTCTCCCAGCCTCAAAATTTTCTCATCATTTTGAGATGAGTTTGATGCAGCTGGGTCTCCTGAACTCCGAAACGAGGCGAGGAGAGGAGGGGAGATGGGATTAATTACAGGGAGATCCAAAAAGCTGTGAATAAACTGATATTCCCAGTATGAGAAGAGTCACCAGACTTGATCAGAACCCCTCACTGTACCAACAAGCCAGCTGGAAAAGGTGAACAGCCAAGGTAGAGAAATTTGCTGCAAATCCCATTTTTTTCAGAGTAATCAGCCAAAAGCTGGAAGCAAGAAGTTGCAGAAGGATGGCATGGCACTGGCTGGTTGATGAGATGGCAGATGGGAGTCAGTGGTAATGAATGCAAAGCAATGCACACAAGAGAAAATAGCACTAACAAAACACACACAGCAGCAACTCTAAATCAGCTGCTTCCATTAAGGAAAGAGATGCTGCATTCATTGTGGATAATTTTCCAGAAATGCCTGCTTAGTGAAAGAAGGAAGGAAGTACGAAAGCAAACAGGCTGCTGGGAAGCATTAAAATCTTAAAAAAGGAGAAAATATCCTCATAAATCCAACATGCACATGCATGTTTGAGTGGCCACCTGCACTCCTTGGTATCTCATCCTCTCTGAGAAGCAGCAGTGCAATAAAAAAACTAAAGAAATCAGATGTGCTGGGTGAAAAGAGGCAGCTGAAGGGGACCCTGGAAGCATCAGGCACCCAGAACAGTCCAGAAAAGGTAAATAGGGAGTCCTTATTTTTCTCCCTCATGGTGGTCTCTAAGAATGTGTAAAATAAAGCAGTGCTGGGGGGGTTGGGGGAAGCAGCCTATAAATGTGTAATTTATGTCTCATTTCCCTAAAGCATTGACAGCAGTTTTTGGTGGATGTGAGTGATTTGTTTTGTGTTACAGATCTATGAGGGTGAGGGCTGCTAATATGCCAAAATGGCATTAGAGGGCAGTGCATGGCAACCTAACTGGAGGTTTTTTGGGGTTGCTGTGAGAAACCACTCTCTGGAACCTCTGAGGATCAGGAGAACAGAGGGGCTCCCACTCACACAGGTGAGAAGTGGTGGGGACCAGCACATGACACAAAAGCAAAACATGAGGGCTGATCTGTGCAGTGTCAACCTGCTGTAAAAGTAGTTAAAAGCCATTAAGTGGTGGTTTCCAATCACTGGTGGAGATCCCAAGCAGAGAACCGACCCTGCTACACATGACACTTTTTGTGGTGACCCTGGCAGAACCTCCAAACCTTTCTGGATTTGATTTTCCTTCCCCACCCCCCCACCTCCCCCCAGAAAATGTTTTCTGTTGTCCTCCCAATGATCTTCAGCTTTGCCCACAGGGTAAAATGAATTATGAAGAGGAAAATCCCTGTAGAAAACTTGTCCTGGCTTGGGAGGATCGGCTTAGGTTTGCTGCCTTAAAAAAAATCCAACCCAAACTTCAAGGAGTAACAACCTGAAGGAATTGAAAATGGTTAGAAAGGCATTTGAAATAATCTTTATTCTACTAAGGGAACAGCTGAAAATGTGGCTGTGAAAGCAGTGAAGGATGACTGTGAAAGCAGTGAAGGAAACAGTGCCTTTTGCCATATATAGAATAACCCAAACCCCCAGAAAATCGTGGGGGTTTTTCCCCTATTTTTTACTTGCTTCACATTTTCACCTAGTTTCATACTTTGGCTGAGTTCCATAACTAAAATGAGTAAGAAATGTCTCAGAACAGAAACATTTCAGCACAGATGAAGTTTCCAACATACTTCAATATTTTTGATGACAGCTAAAGAAAACTCCATTGCTTTTGACACTGCACAGGGAGTGTTGCAGTTTGGCCAGCCATGGGAAAAAAAACATGCTTTAAATGAGGAAATGACCATTTTGTCCTACCGCCGCTGTCTCAAGCTTGTTTGAAGAAGTGAGAAAACGTCAAAAACATAACAGTGAAAATATTACACATGACTAGATTCAGTACAGATGGGATATCTGCCATCACTGAGGAAAAAAAAAGTTGTGCTGCTCTGCTAGAGGAAGGATTTAGATAAGAAATTATTCAGAGCTCCCCTGTGTTAGCCACACAGAGGGTTTCTGTGCCAAAAATGCAGGTTTCTTACATGCTGAAAATCCCACTGCCTGAGAAACTGGATGGATTTCAGGAGGTTTGTATTTTTTCAAATTATAGAAGATCCTGAGTTGAAAGGGACCCACAAAGATCTGGATTAAGAACCTTTGCTGGGAGTTGGACTCAGTCATTCATCCCCGTATGTCACTTCCAGCTTAAAATGTTCTATGATTCTGAGATTTTATGGAAATGAGAGGGATGGGGAGAGTTAAAGCTCTGTTGCATTGGTCACCGGTTTTAAAACTAATAACTGAGAAAGATACTGGAAGCCAAGTCAAACAGTGAGGGAGGTTTTGGAAGTGGAGAGGAAAATCAGCTTTACAAACATCTGAATGAAAGCTCTATCCAAGGCAAAAAGACAGATAGTCTTTTTGGACTGAAATAAAATTCTGGATATGAGATTAAATTCTAAGAACTGTGGGTTGTTACCGGGCAGAGCAACATCGCTCTGGAAATGCCTCTGCTCTGATGATTCACAGATAGGTGAGGTTACCCTTCTGCTTGCTCAAGATCTATATCAAGTTCTCATGAACCACGGTTTTCAGCCCAAAACAGCTGAGTCCGAGAACTTGAAGTTCAAAGAGAATTCTCTGACGTCCTGTCATGGTGGCTGTCACAACATTCTTGGCATAAACAGAACTATTTGGTGATAAAGCACAATGATGGGCACTGAGATGCTCATAGATAGTAGCAGGTTGCCCAGAGAGGTTGTGCAGTCGCCATCCTGATCCAATCCAGTCTGAACTGTTTGATGAGTCTGTGATTATTTCTATGGCTTTGTTATTTGCTGCACTACTCCAGAGAGATGAAGAAGATTTAGTATTCAGACTTGCTCTGGATTTACTCAAGTGCCATCACCACTGGGAAAATGTCAAAAGGAATTCTGCTCCTCCATTAGGTATCCCCAGCTTTTAAACAGAAATTCAGCTTCTTTTCCATGCAGAATTTTATGCTGGGACATGGCCTCGTCTGTCTTTTTGCATGGATTTCTTCCCATGTGGATCATCCTGGGCCCTGAAGTGTATCCAGTGACACTGATATTCCAGGTGAATTTTTGAAGCTGAGACAGATGTTCAGATTCTGTTGAAAGAAGAAAATGCTGGTTTAGGATAGTCCTAGAGGATTTATATGCCAACTCTTCCAGATTGTTTCGGCCACAGAGGTGTGTGATGACAACAGAGACAGGAACACTGGAACATCCTCACGCCTGACCAGTCTGGTCTAAGGGATATGGCTGGTTTAGGATTTGGAACTTCCTCAAGCTCCAGGCAGCATTTTCCAGCTGTTTAGAAGTTACACTTTCCATCTTACAAGAGGACTATATATATATATATATATTTGGAAATATAGACTCAGAGGTGTTGTCCTGTACAATTATAATATAATTAATTGCATCCAGGTTTAGCTTTCTAAGACTGAGATGCCCAGTACATTTTCAAGCATGGGCTGTGGCCAGTTGATCTCTAGAACCCAATCCTTGGAACAACACTTTCCTAATTTGCTGGGGCACTTTCCATATTCTACTTTATATTCTAGGACTTCTTTTTGGTCATAGTTTTAATTTTATGAAAATACATAATTGCTTACCATGCAGTATTTGATAACTACAATTCACAAGACTGCCAGACTAAGAAAAAAAGAGCTAGTTGTGTGTGTATTCTGAGTGTATATCTCATTCAAGACAGGATAACTTTTATATTTTATAAAACAACCTAATGACTGGAAGTTAAAACAAGATTAGGACCAAAGTCTGATTATTCTGCATTTTTCTGGGCAGGATTTCTTGCCTCTTCCTTCAGAAATATTATCCTGATTATTGAAAAGGCCTTGATACTGAACTGCCCTGATGGGTAATGTAGCCCAGCCTGTCAACTCTTATATTTCTTCAAGAAAAAAAAAAGCAGTGTAGCCGAAGAAAGAGTCCTCTAAAGTAATTTCCACCATGGATCAGATCATTGTATCATGGAAGGCAAATGATGGAAATTGAACACTGAGCTTTCATTTTTCCAACCTGAAAATGTTCACCATGTGCCTTGTTTTTTCCTTCTACACTCATTTCAATGCCTTAAACCATAAATGAGCAATGGCCAGGTGTGAGCACTGTCCATCCTTCTGTTCCTGAAAACCAAGGAAGACATAAAAAAACCCCAACCCAAACCTACTTTTCAGGTAAACAGCATTATCTCCACCATCAGACCAGACCACATGTGCGTAAAAGGATGTGTTATCAAAAATATCTGTAATGGTGACCTTAAAAAAGTACAAGCAGTGCTAATGAATTTCTTGTTATTTTAGAAAGGGACTTTCTTCTCCGTTGGTGCAGAGAACTTCCTGAAGCAAAAACAAATGAAGCTTTTCTCTCTTTCTTTTTAAATGTAAGGTAGAAACATTTTGACTGAACTTCTGTTCTGTTGTTTTCTAGTTATTCAGAGTTAGGAGATGTTTTCAATGATCCTTCAGCACAGAGAAGAGAAGGGTCTGGGGAGAACTTCAGACACCTTCCAGTACCTAAGCAGTCTCCAAGAGAGCTGGAAAGGGGCTTTGTATGAGGGCATGGAGTGACAGGACAAGGGGGGTGGGATGGCTTTAAACTGACAGAGGACAGAATTAGATTGGATATCAGGAAGAAATTCTTTACTGTGTGTGTATTGAGCTTTGGCTACCCCATCCTTGGAAATGTTCAAGGCCAGGTTGGACAGAGCTTGGAGCCACCTGGGATAGTGGAAGGTGTCCCTGCCCATGGCAGGGGAATAGAACAAACTGATCTTTAAGGTCCCTTCCAACCCAAATGAGTCTGTGATTCTAAGACAGAACCCTGTCTTAACTTGGACACTGAACATGACAAAGTACGAGAACATAGAGGCATCTCTGCAGTTAAGATGCGGGTTTTTATTGAGAATTTATTGTAATCAAGAGTTTACAGGTGTTGGGCAAGGAGAAAGGCAAGGAAGTAACTTCCCCTATCCACATTTGGAGTTAGCTGAGGAGCCAAAATTAGGATGAGGTGTTCTTAGCTGTCTCTTCTGGGCTCCTTCTGATGCTTGTTACCTTTGGTAGCAGGTCCTTCTCATGAAGCTCTCCCTCTCTTAGCTCCTCTTGTTTCCCATGTATCAGAAACTGCCATTTGTTGGTTATGATTTCTCATTTCAAAGCTCCACACTGGAGCTGGATGTTGCCAGAATGGAGCATTCCAAGGGCAGAGCCAGGCTGTGGCAGCATGGGGAACTCACAGCAATACCTGTGACAATCAGTGAGTGCCAGCAGCTCTGCTCAGATGTGTCACTTTTTTGGGGAGTGTGAGAAGCTGAGGTTTGGCTGTGCATGAATGTTTGAGACGTCACAACAACCAGGATGCAAACCCAGTTGCATTAAAATGTGTGCAGTTACTGTCCTTGTGCAAATATTTAATTTTTGAATTTTCTTTATCCCACTAAAGAGAGATGATACAGATGTAATCATCTTGGTGAATACTGAACAGCCAAGCAGGTAGATACTATAATTCTATTATGATTTATTTTTTCATATTATCTTTCATCTATTCTTTTATAGTCTAAGCTGCACATATCTGGCAGAGCATCTGGAGTACTTTCCACTTCTAACTTTAAATGACCTGACAAAAACGTTCCAAATTGAGGAGGCTCAATGTCAGGCTTTTATTAGTCACATCACATATTTCCACTTCCAAGGTTTTCCACTTGCTCACCATGAAAATGGCTAATGAGATGTTTTATGTGTGCTACTCTTTGTATCATGCAGGTGACAGATATAATGAAGATGGTCATGAGGTCATCTGAGCAAGGGGAAGTCTGGCTGATAGGAAGTAAATCAGCCCTGGAAATTGTCCTCCCTTTGTTCCTTCAACACAAGTGACATCAGCCTCTGTGTGACATGGGGACATGTGAAACTCTTTATCCCAAATATTCTCACTTTCAGAGGCTTATTTAATAATTCCCTATATTAAAAGTAAGTTGCAACTTACTCTCAAAAGGAGGGAATGTTGATCTCTGGGAACTAGAAATAAAGACATTTAGGAGTTGGAACCATCTACCTTAGGACAGGACCTAAAATTATAAGGTTGTTTAATGCTTTCTTCAGAGGACTGTATAGGGTTGTCTTTGGTTATCACCATGCAGTGATCAAAATAGACAGGACTTCAGAAGGGCTGAACTGTGATAATCAGAGGCATCAATAGAGGAGAGGGTGAGTATACATCCGGAAGAGATATAAAAGATCCCAGATGTTGGTTTTTTATCTGATTTCCTGCCTGCAGTGTCACTGTACTCTTGCAAAGCACAAGACCATCCCACACATGATGGAATTCTGCTGGATAAAGATGACCTCCAGCAAAATTTGCACATTTTGTGTAGTTGGTAAATACATTCAGATTCAAAGCAAATTGCACTCACTGTCTGAGCTCAGCATTTTGGGGTGAGGATCCCTTTTCAGCACTGAATGCTCTTAAGTTACAAAGAGCTTTGTCCTGATCTCTGGGAGGTGTGAGGACGTTTGGCCCACATGAATGATTCCTCTGCAACCTCCAAAGCAAACCACCAGGCAGTTGCCTCAATTGGATGGATGCAGGTGATGAAATAAGGTCTGGCTATAAAATGTGGACAGTTTAATTCCTTAAGGTCAGAGAAGAACTTCCTCAGGGTAAGAATACTTGTGCTGAACAGCCTGATAAATAGCTGCTGTTTTCTTGAAAGAACAGCTCCAGGGCATGAAATATAAACTACTTTATGGAAATAACTCCTGCATTTTGTTTGCATGCTTTATAGTCAGCTCTATCCTGTCTAGGTCACCTTCCTCTTTCCTTTTCCTCTTAACAGTAGAGAGGCACTGACCATCAGAGGCCCTGAACAGAGCAGGTACTTACTTGGACTTGTGTGGACATCCTGGACCTTTCCATACCACAGATTTGCCAGCTGCAGGCCATTGCTTTCACCTTTAGTTGCATTACCCTTCAAGAGTGAAGCTGTTCAGAATTCAGCCCCAAACCTGCTGTGCTCCAGCATTTATAACCTGTGCACGAGAGTCAGAGAGAGATGGTGGAGTTGGTGACAGGGTCTGGACCCGGGACAGCTGACAAATTTCTAGTTCATCTGATTGAAGAGATTAAACCTGGTGGTAGGGAGGTTGTTTTTGCCAAGGTCTCTAAGCGCTGGGAGACTGTTGTGAACACCAAGGTAACGCAGGGCAATGTTTGGTGTTAATTATAGCAGGCAGAGTTTGTTTGTGGCAGTTGAATGCCTGGTGGGAGGTTTGGTGGGTATCCTCAAACCAAATGAGACATCTGCTGCATTCGGGTGATCACAGCCAGTGCAGAGAAGCAGCCACTTCACAGTGGAGCTCATTTCACCCCAAGGCAGGCATCAGAAATAGGTCATCTGAGCTGCTGCCTGTCCTATTCATTCACCATGACAGCAGATGGGTGACTAACTCAAAAGTCTGTGTCTACACCAACATCTCATTAACAGAGAAAATGTGAAAACCACCTTATTGATCCAAAATTCTTTTCTCATCTTGTCTCAGCAGTTGAGCTCCTTCAGGAGAAAGACTCAAAGTGCCCTGGAATCCTCCACAGGCTTGTCAAGTTACTCAGATCTTTGCATCTCAAACATCCATCATCTCATGGTCAGGGAGACCTTAGAGCAGCATTCCAGTATCTAAAGGAGACTCACAAGAGAGCTGGAGAGGCACTTCTCACAAGGGCATGGAGTGATAGGACAAGGGAAAATGGCCTTAAGCCAAAGGATGGTAGAGTTGGATTAGATATTAGGAAAAATTTCTTTACTCTGAAGGTGTTGAGGCACTGGAACAGGTTTCCCAGAGAGTCTGTTGATTCCTCATCTCTGGAAGTGTTCAAGGCCCGGTTGGACAGGGCTTGGAGCAACCTGGGATAGTGCAAAGTAGCACTACCCACAACAGGAGGGTTGAAACTGGATGATCTTTAAGGCCCCTTCCAACCCAAACCATTCTGTGACTCTATAATTGTATGATTTGATAATCCAAAGATCCCATCCCAAGCCCACCCTTCTCCTCTGCACAAATAGTGCTCAGTTGATGAAAATTGTTTTAGGTTAACTGCACCAAAGCAGGCCACGGAGATCTACCCAATGGAAAGGGTAACCCCACCAGTGAGTTATTTATTTAATATCTTACCCATAATTTCATGTCTTCCAATGTCCTGCTCTGCTGAACATCAGTGCTCCCTCATTAGTGCTTAATTGTCCCATTTTAATTTGCCTCATCTACAACTGCTTGAATACTGCTGTCACTGCAGTATTTGAGAACCACTGAATGTTCATTAGAAAAATGTCCTACTGAGAAAATCCTACAGCAACCACAAGAAATCATGATTTCAAAATTCTGTCCCAAATCATCAGGTGTGACGTCTGTAATAAATCTCAGCCTGAGTTACTCTGGCAATAATTGGAAGGATTGCACTTGATTCTGTAAGAAGAGGATTTGGGATTCATCACAAAGATGTTGGACAAAGTCCTGAGCCTCATTTGAAGCGAAGAAACAAGGCATGAACACTGCATCTGAATGAACTAAAGGGTCAGCTTTGATAATTTCTGCTCAAGAAGGAAAAACTCCTATTATTTTCTGTTTCTTTAGCCTGGCTGAAACAAAATGCAGCCTGAACTTTCTACACAGCTTTTCATTTTCTCTCACTCTGTACTTGTTTCCTGAGTACCACACCAATTTTCACACTTGAACAGCAACTTTTCTTGGTTAGTGGTTTGATCTAGAAATTTTTCAAGCTACCCAAGATGAGAATTTCTCTAAATAGTTTCCACTACTATTTATTTGCATTTAGAAGTTCTAATCGTTTGCTTTTCTATAAGTAATCCTCAAAATCTATCCAGTTCAGAAGGGTTTTTTTTCACCTCCAGGGTAAGGGTCTACATTAAGGTCTAAGAACTGAAATGCAAATGTTTGCTTTTAATTTCTGTGGCAGAGAATTTAGCCCCAGTTCTTGGAACATCTACATCAGCTTCCTATGAGGTGGTAAATTCAGAGCTGACTCAACAAAATTCATACAGACAAGATTAGCTGTGCTTTCACTGAGCTAAAGGAAGGCACAGAGCTCTACCTTCTTAAACAGAAGCATCTACCCAGCCCATGAAGGCAAAGAAGATGCAGAAAGGTGCCTTCTGATATGCAGCAGAAAGGCTTCTAATGGTGATCTTCAACCATTGGAAGTTCACTTGACAATTTAAGGGGCAAAGGTGGGATGGGAATAGTGGGATGTGCAAAACTGAGCATTAAAACTTGCTCACATTCGTCTCTCTTGATTTTAGATGCCTCTAATAAAGGGGATGTGCCCTATTTAAATAGTCCCTAGACTCCAGTGCTGGAAGGAGACTTGAGGGCTTATCTAGTCCTGCCTCAATAAGCTCCATCACTGCCACTGCTATGGCTCTTGCCTTGTCCCCCTCTCCATCATCATTCCTCAGACAGCTTCAAGTTATTTGGTCCATTATTTTGGCAAAGGTTTCCTAGACCCTTTTTTCATTCCCACTGCTGCTCCATGCTTTTCTCAGTGTGCAATGCCTACATCTTACCCATGGCTTCACTGTCACAGCACAAAACAAGGGATTTCTTTGCATGTGCTGTACAGTTCAGAGTTACATTTAAATTTTTTGTGTGTGACATTGCCAACTGGTCTTGATCATCCAGAGAACTGCTGGAAATACTGAAAAACCAAAGGCTCACCTGGGCACCACCTCTCAGTGCATCCTTCTCTTCTGGTAGTTAATCACTGCCTCTTAATATGCTCTTCCATTTGACACGGTTTTGAACCCTTTTAAAGGCACTTTCTTTTCAGGGATTTGCCAATAAATTTCATACTCACCTCATAATTCATCTAGGCTATATTTCCATAATTTTACAGATAATATAAACAATTGTTACTGAAATCAAGCAAAGAAATGGTATCTTGGGTAAGGAGCTCACTACAGGGGCTGTCTTAGGACTTGGGCACTTTATAGGATTTGTGCACTTTTCAGGATTAAATATACTTGATTCACTATAACTTCCTGGTAATAAAAACAAGGAGCAAATATGACCATGCAATAATACACTTCATTTACCAGTTCCTCAATATTTTTTTGCTCAGGCCAAGGAAATGATGATTGCAAATAAGAATAGGAAGGAAGTTATCTGTATTATTCAGCCGTATTTACATGGGGAAGTATTAAGGAACCCAGTCTAGGCTTTGGTGAGTTAAGAACCTTGTGGCAGTACTCACTACCTGAAAACAAATATATCCAAGAGTTTTTAATGTTCCTCACATATTTATCTCACAACTCAGCATCAAAGAAAGGAATAGTTAATATGAGCCATGATGACCCTTATCCAGGATGCTTGGCAGAAAAGTTCTCAATCACTAAGCAATCAATTTAAATTCTGTTTTCAAACTCAGGATGGATTTTCAGGATGGATTTGTCTCATCCAGCTGGGGATACCTAAAAGACCTGTTGTGCTGTTTAACAATTGTGGGCAGATGGAAGGCAGAGAGAGAGGAGATGAGTGACTCACCTGGTGGATGTAGATGTCCAGAAGAGGAGGTGAATCACTCTCTAGATGCCCTTACTGACTCTCCACTGACTCAAGGGGGAACTCTGACAACTGTACTGACCATACAACTCCCTCTTGAATGGAACCCTGTGGACATGGTAAAGATGCTTCATTTAAGGTGTGAAGTTTGTGTGCCTCATGTCAGCTTCATCTCAGTTTTATGGGAAATAAAAAGTGATTAAAACCTGTTTGGCTTTTATAGATAATTAGGCTGGATAAAATTTTTCTGATGATAATTTTGAGGACATGGTATAACTCTGGCTTCCCCAAACCTCTGCCCTGCAGCAGAGCTGGATGCTGCTGTGGAGATTGGGAAAGGCCCTTGTGGGCGCATAATGTGAGTTCACAACCACCATTACTGTAATTTTAAGGATGCATAAGCTGATTAACCGAGTTTAGGTAGCTGCTAGAGCCACCCCCACACCCTCCCTGGGAAGGTCCGTATGAAATGTTATTTCCTTGAATAGAGGACTCGCATAAGAGTGATTCACAGCAAAAAAATTGAATAAAACACAAAGCTTGCTTATTTCAGTGAGTTACATGGATGTTTACAACTGCTTTGAACTGGGAAGGGCTCCAATAAGATCAAGTGTTGCCTTTTCTCCAAGCCGGCTGAGAGACAGATTAAGGAAAGGACACTCCTCCAGACCAAATGAGTTTGTGCAGAGTTTTAAAAGCACTTACAGGGTTTCAAAAGGCCCTTGTTAAACCTAGACCTAAGAAGGCTGTAGCTCTGTTTGTGGTTTACTCCCTGACAACTCCATTTCTGCACTTCTGGTCTTGTGACATTGAATAAAAATAATCTTTATAATCTTGTCTGTGGTGGCCTGAGCTATGTGACAGGCTCTTTTCCTCCCAGCTCTCTGCTGAAAAATAGGACTTTCTTGAGCAGCAAAACTCTGCTGGTCAATGGAGGAGAGTCAAGGAGCAACAGATATACCAGCACCTTCTTTTCATCCTACATCTTCCTTAATTCTCAAAATGCCTTTTTTCCTTTTTATTTCCTCCACCACTTCCCATATACACACTGAGTTTTCACAGCACCTCCCTTTCTTTATTGCCACACCTAATTCTGTTGCTAACATCTCATGTTACTCATCTAAATTATGATGCTAGTTTCTCATAAACCCCAGTTTTTATCTGTGCCTGGGTGTCGTTCTCCACTGCTGGGTCTCTCTGTTCTCACTCTCCTCTTCTCTACCTCGGGTCTGTTCCTTGCAGAATCTACACTGTTTCGTTTTGTAGAATCATTCAGCAAACTGACTTATTTCCAAAAGCTGATCTGGCTAATTCCTCTCACAAATCATAACTGTTTTTTTTCTGACCTTTAAGAGGTGTAAATGCTGAGTTACAGGTCTTTCTCATGCAATCTGTGTTTGTAGCAATGAGCCACCTGAAGTCACCATTCCTTCCAGTACAACTGACTGTACTTTCCATTCATTTCTGGATAAAAACTCACCTTTTCTCATAAAATCTTAGTGGCTGTTATTAATTTGTACTGAGGTTTGTTACCTGAAAGCAAATGTCTGCATGAAAGATTGAGCTGGAGGACTGCAGGAAACTTCCCTCTGTGTCCACCAGTAAAATAGCTGTGGAATTAAATAGTTGGACCAAGCAAGAAATTGAAGCAGATTTTGGCAAGTAAATCCCTTCACCTCAAAAGAACAGACCCTGTATTTAGTAAGGAAAGGATAAAAAGTTTGGGATTTCTTTCCAGGCAACATAATAAATATGTTTTGCCAGCACAGATGACTGTAGGGTTCAGACAGTTACGTATGTCCAGGCATCTTGGAAAAAAGGTGAAGGATTGGGATCTAAGACTTTCAGACAGATTTTTCAGGAGTGAAACTCTCTAAATCCTTCTGAGGGCTTTGGCATGAGCTTTTCCTATTACACTGTTAAATACAGAAGATGATTTGATACTAAAGCAAAGGCAGTAAATACCTGTGGAGTGTGAAGCAGCCCCGGGGTGAGCAGAGCATTTTACCCACAGCAGTTGCTTCAGAAGTCTTACTTGTTCTCCATGCCCTGTTGCATTTGGATTTGAGAAGTAATCTCCTGGCAAAGCCTTGCAGCTGGCAAACCCTGCAGGAGGATTTGTCACCTGCATCACAAAGCTGCACAAAATCTCTCATGGCAAGAGCAAAGGGAGCTTTATCAGGAAAAAGGTGGCAAACTGATAGATGCAGCCATAGCAGCAGTTAAAAATATATCACATCTATTCCTTAGCTTGCCTGTTCAGAAGATTTAATTCTTTGAGGATTTATAAAGGAGAAATAAATGCCCAGCATGTATTAATCATGATAGAATACCACAGATAGTTTAAATATGTTTTTTTTTTTCTGTAGTCTATCCCAATGAATTCTCCAGTTACTAAAAGGAAATCATTTCTGTGGAAATGGCTGAAGAAAAACTACATAAAGTGTGATACTTCTTTAGTAATTTCCAGTTTTCCACTGGCACTTGGAAGAATTTCACTGAAGCATGTCACACCCAGACAATTTGGGAACAAGGGAAACCTTTTCCAAACCTGCCAGCCTCACCCTCATTTGTGTTTTTTTTTTTAATCAAGCTGTCCATCCTTCAGAAGCTCAGCTGTGATTCAGAGAAACTGCACACATGCTTCCATCAAAATCAAATGCAGCGTGGCTTTATCATCACTAACAGAAGACCTCTGAAAAGCCAAAAGGATAAGCCATGGAGAACCTTTTTTTCTGCAGGTAGAGCCCACAGATGTTGCCTGAGATCCATTGTGACACACCAGACATCTATTCCACAGCCATGGTCCCTCTCTGATACCTGTCCAGCCACAGATTTGGGGCTGAGTGCCTGAACAAACCTATTAAAGTTTCCCCCCTTCTACTGAACTCAGCTGTAGTGAAATGTGAAAGGGCTCTGGAGCCAGGAGCTCTGATGTGTCAAACCACTTCCTACACACGATGGCACGCTCCGCCACAGCGAGCATCGAGTTTGGTTTCCTGGATAACAGACTAATACCTGAACAGAAAGCAGCCTTTGTTCTTTCCCGTGGAGCCAGCAAAACGATGATTTGCTGACCAAAGCCCTCTCTGCACACGTGGGTGATGTTCCCAGACAGCCTCATCAGGCAGTAATCAGCTCCTTGGCTTGGTTGGCAACAGCTCATCACTTCTGAGAAACTTCACCATCCTCAGAGGTGTGGAGAAAAGATGTGGACAAGTCCCATGGAGCTCAAGTGGCTTTTGATGTGGGTCTTGTTTGGATTCATCAAGGGGAAGAAGACAGGTAAAAGACTCTTTTTGCCTTTTGGGGAGGGAAAATATGATTTGGGTTTTTTGGTGGCTGTTAGAGGGTGTTCACAACATCATGACTCCTTTCAGCAAAGGAAAGATGTTAAGGAGCTTAAGGAATTTATTATTCTAAGGAAATGAGAGAAATGGGTTCTGTGCCCACAAACTGTCAACTGCAGAAAATCCAGAGCTTTAGAGGATATTTTTTGTCTGACTAATATATGTATCCTCCAACCCATCATTGGAACAGTGGGCAGATCAAAGCAGCCTGAGGCAGCCCTCTGTATTTCCTTTTTCCATTTTCCTTGTAACTTCAGGAAACAAAAATAGACACTAAAATGGCAGTACCTCTGTAGGTAAAATTGGTGGCAATGCTATTAGTTAAAAGGTACCATACAAATTTGCTATGGGTACTATAGATATGAAATATTTTTTCAGCCATGCCTCTCAATCAGCAGTGCCTATAAACTATGAATGGAGACAGCTAATCCAATTCAGCATAATTTTACACATTTAAAAATGGTGACACTGCTTAGATTTGGCTTATTTATCGTGACAAGTGTGTGCATTGAGAAATGGTCTGGTGATGCATTAGTGTATTTAAATTTAAATTTCTTTGTTCAAAGGCAGGGAAAAAAAATCTTCCCTTCTCAAAGCTCCAAAAATGTGCTGTTTCCTTCTGTGTCTGATGATGATGTCCAGGCTGAGAGGTATGAACAGACACAGCCTGAGGCAGGCTCTCAGATATGCTGCTACTGTAGCTGCTGATGGCTCATCTTTAGCAGGGCTGGGAATTTTCCTTGGGGCTGGCTATCTCAAGGGAAGAGTGTGTTGCTGATGACTGAACTCATTAATGCAGGAAGGACCTTCACAAATGTTGAAGCCCCAGGTGATTTTATTCTCATTATTTTGCCAGTAAATGCTGCACCTTCTCCTTCATGGAGCGTTTTCACTGCCAGATGAGGTGCCAGAGCCCACGGGAAGTGCTTGGTGCTGCGTGCAGGAGCAGCACCATGAGATGCTCAGAGGGATGACATACCACAGATGTGTCAGTGGGATCAGTTCTGGGATGAGTCAGGTCCCCCAGATCACACTTTCTGTATTACTCTGCCTGGAACATGTTGTGAAATTTCTTGCTGGCAGGTCTCGTTTATCAGAAACCTTTCTGTTCTTTTGGAAAAAAATCGAGGCGTGTCAGAGCAGTTGCATTTTATGCTATTTGATGTAATTTTATTCACCACTGAATGAATAAATGCACAGCATTGCATTCTCCACTGTATCACTAAGCTCTTCTTTCCTCAGCTTCCTGTGCTTATTTTCAGTGTTTTTCTCAATGTTTAAACATAATATTTATATATATATTTGTAATTTCTCCCTGCAAATAATATGTTAAGGTAGAAACACCACCTTTTACCTATTTAGGGGTTTTTATCACAGAGGCACTTAAGGCATTGTAGCTGTAAGTTCTGTTGGTTTTAATTCCTTAGGGAATTAAACAAGGAGACCTAGGAATAGACATAAGCAAAGCAAAGGAAAAGGGGCTGGGTCGAACTGGTCAAAAATCAAACAGGCCTCAGCACATACAGTGCTTTTTTTATTATTTTGCCTCAGTATCTTCAGCTTGTCCCAGCACTGCAACTTCAGTTTTGTAAATAGATCCATCCCTAGATGGTGTTTGTCAAAATGCACTGTCAGGAATAAATGTAATTAGAGGGAAAAGGAAATTAAAAGTATTTTTTATACAGAACAATTTCACTGATAGATCTCAAAATGCTTTGAGAAGGCAAAGCCCTGGGGGACTGGGGAAGCTAAGGCATGGGATGATCATTTATTTAATAACACTTAAACTGCACCTTAGTGCTAAAAAGAAGAGAAATGCTAAAAAGAAGAGAAATGCTGGTTTTCCTATGGAGAGTATCACATTTATCTCCTTTACTCTCACAGCAGGAGTGCCTAGAAGCTGCAGACATGGGTGAAACCTGGAGGGAGGGTCAAGCACAAGGTAAAAGCTGGTCTGTGCTCTACAACCTTTCCATCTTGCTGTCCATGGTACAGGGATACACTCAATAGATTTGCAAGTTAAACCTGGAAAGGATTAGAACTCACCAAAGAAAGAAATTGGTTCAAGTGAATTTCATTCACACAAGATGGGTACCAGATCTCAGTCATTTAAATGAGAGGAATTTCTTTCCCATTATAATTGCATATTAGTGCTGGCTCCCATGGATTTGAAATGCAATGCAGAATACATTAAAGTTGTCAAACACAGCCGAGTGATTCTTTTAAGGTCAACTGGAGAGCAAATAACTTTGCAAACTTTTTGGCTATCATGGCTTTCAGCAACAAAGGGCTCAATATACAGGTACAATTAAAAAAAACGTTAAAAAAGTGTTTCAAAAGTGTGATCCTACTGAGAAAAAGCAGATATTATGACAGAGATCCTGCAGTACCTGCTTCTTCAGCTTGAGAAATTGTTTCCCCACTTCATCAGAGGCAAGATGTTATCCCCTTTCTCCTTTTATTGCAGAAAAAAGTCCACTCTATCTATTTCTAGAAAGCCACTGTTTCTGACTTGGCTCATTTCTGCCTTCAGAGTATTTTTATTTTGGTCTCTCTACCTCCTCAATGTTCAACTCTGTCTGCCCTGTTTTCCCCTGTTGCATAAATGCTGTCTTCAAAGCTCAGATTCTGGATATTTTCTATGCACGGATTCCATTCCCTGACCTTGGTCCTGAATTCTGGAACTACGTATTTCACTGAGTCCTTGCTCCATCTCTTCCAATGCTTCCTCAAAATCCACATTTCCAAAGTCCTTCCATGACTTTTCTCACTTGATTCCCTGTTCCTCAGCCCTGCCAGGGGAGCAGCACTTGGTCATCTGCTGATTTTTCTTGATGTTCTTGATTTGTAAAGTGTGACCCCACACATAATGTGGAACCCACACTCTCTATGTGGAAAAATACTTCATACATCAGAAAAATCATTACTAGGTGCAGAAAATTTCCCTCTCACTCTTGACATCACCAGGGCAAAGCTCCATGACCATACTAAGTCCCTAAGTCAGGTGAGATGAATCCTTAGGGCATATTTGAAATAAAAAAATTTCCCCACCAGACCTTTTTTTTTTCTTACTCTCCCAAGATTGGGACACACACTTGACAGACCATTCAATTATTCTCAGAGAGGATATTCTCTACTGCCCTTTCAGCCCAATAAAAGGCAAGGCTGAGAAAGTTCCAGACAAAGGAAAGAATCTGTATTTCTGCTGCTGTTTAAAAAGACAATTTTTTGTTTCCTTGTAGATCAAAGACATGTTCTAGTGAGGTTGTCTATTGAAGCAAAATTGTCACACACCAAAACAAGGCTTTCATGTATGATATTCTCAAAACTTGGCTCTGTGTTCTGCTACAAAACCATGTGCCGTGGTTGCATTTAGAGAGTCTGAGCACTGTGGCTTTACCACAGAACTAAGGATGTTACAAACACCCAGAAACAAAAACAAGTGTTCCCCATTCTTTACTTAGTGCACTTTCCATGCAGCACTCTGTGCCCAGGCTGGTCTTCCTCCCTCTCCCTCTTTTCTAATGTTCCCTCTTCTGATTCCACATTTTGAGTCCAAGTCCTCAGCCCAGCCCCCCCTGCTAGGGCAGGCATGAGATCCATCAATACATCAGGTAAATCCCTCTGATTATCAATGTGAACACATAAGAGCATTCTTCCATCACTGCAGCTAATGAAAAGAAAGCAGCACCTTAAATCTTTGCTTTGGAGAAGGTAAATTAGGTGTCTGCTGTGCTCTAGAGAGGTTTTCCCAGCTGCACTTCTCACAGAAGGAGCTAAGAATGCACATTCCTGAGGCTAAATTATGCTTAACATGAGAAAGCTTAGTCCACTCTGCAACCCACTCTAGCCTTGCTGTATATGGAATTCTTTTGCATTGGATACCACTGCTTAGATCAATGGCAAACAGCTGGTCAGCAGGATTAAGCCAAGAGGTAAGAGAAGTGCATTTCTCCCAAACACAATTTTCTATGGTCCTAGAGCTCCTGACAGTTCATATTCCACTTTGTTTTACACTGTTTTTCAAACAGAGACATCTGGTACAGCAAACTCAGCAGGGACTGAACTTCCAGATCCTTAGAATAGCTCAGTCTTCTTCTCCACTGCTGGGAATATTCAAAACTACCTCCATCCCCCTAAGACTGGTCTCTCCTCCATTGCTGTTTGTATTAAAACTTGTGCCATTTTGGTAATTTTATCTGCACTGTATTTCTGGTTGTTACACTGCAGATTCACTACTACTCAATTATTTTTTAAAATAATCTCTCTATAATCTAAGGTACAGCTAACTATAATCTCACAGGCAGATTACAATAAATTTTGGGTCTGTGCCCCAACCCCACATCCGTGATCTATTCCCACCTCACAATTTCACATAAGCAATGAATTACATGAATGGGGAAAAGAAACCTGCAGAGCTGAGGCTTGCTTGTTAAAGGATCCTTTGGGAATAAGTTTTAAAGTTAGAAAAATTTAATTACCCTTTCAGTCCTGTTGTCAGCATCAATTCCTTCGCTTTGCCTGTTCAGTTTCATCTTCATGAGACTGGATCATTTAGAGCCCAGTTTCACACAGCACATAAATCCCCAGGCTGATTTAGCTTTTCAGGCACAGCTGGGGAAATATCTTCATTTTGGCCTAGTTTGATTTGTTGGTGTCTCTGGGGAGAGGTGCTCTTCATCCCTGAACTGGGCAGCTGTGTGCAGTGCCTGGTTTCTTCCACTGCTTCTGCCCAAAACGTCAGAACATCCAGTTTCCTACCAATCCCATCCTACTGCCTTTTTAGTAAGGGGAAAATCGTCCTGGTTTTGCACTTTGCTGCTTTAACTTGACATCAGAATAATGTCAGAGCTGGTGACACACAGCCACGTGACAGAGGAAGTTCTGAGTTTAGGTTATTGTGGCATGATTCACTGTGTTTTACCTAGCACTAAAAATACCTGTTACGAATTTTCCCCGCTCACTTCTTGTGGACTAAAGGACTAAAGCCTCATCTATCACTGCTCTGCCAGCTCAGACATTGAATAGGAACAGGCAGGAGGGTTTCATGCAGCCTGGTACTGCCAGCTCACCAACCGAGAGCAGTTTTGTGGTTGGGTGAGTAACATACTTGGGTGGGAAACATGAGGAAAGAAACCTGAAAGAACTGATGTTGATCTAGATGGTGGGTTTCTGTCCCTCCAGTATCTCCTGTGTGATATCTGGCAGCTCCTGTGGAAATCCCAAATGCCCTGAGACATCTCAAATGGCATCAGACACCCCAGCTCATATCTATTTCTTGGCTCAGATGACAAGGCTTGCAGATCTCAAAAAGCTTTTCAGACTTAATTTAGGGAGCGCTCCAGCAGAACCAATAAGTCCTTTTTAATTTTTGTGTTTCATGGCTGTCTATTGTCTCAATACACAAGTCTCCTTCTAATTCCAAGGGTTTGTCTCCATCCACTCCATCATAATAATGGAAATCACCTCCAGAATTTCTACAAATGCTGTAGACACCAAAAATCCATTAATATGGGGAGAAACAGAAATTCCCATCTGCCTTAGGAGAGCTAAATGTTCTCATAATTCTGTAACTGACAGAAGGACTAAATCCCTATGAGCACAATTATACCAGCTTCTCTGTTTGACCTATTTACTACATCTAAGTGCAGATAAATGCACTCACAGGACACTTTTGGGGTGTGGGAAGTGAGAATAGTTGGTAGGGCTGATGAATTTTGTGAATGAAGGAAAGGGAACAGTGGACATCAGCATAGAAAGAGAAGGAAATAGTGGCACACACTTTGTCATGGGGACGAAAAATTGGAATATGTGCAAAGAGAAAATTAGGAGGCAAACAGAACATGAAGACATCTTAAGGTAATGTGAGGGCAGTATTTCAAACCAGTAATAGCAGAAGTGCAACCCTGGAGCAGCTGTGGAGGGGTGCAGAATCCAGGGAAAGCTGGGCTGGGCAAAACTAGGTCTCTACAGGCTGTGAGGCAGGCAATGCCCAGATGTGCTGGCCTTTTAAAAGATTGATATTTTCATAGCACACAAACTCAAACAAGTTGATTGGCTAATTACCAGCAAGGTGCAAAACAGAAAAAAAACCCAAAAAACAAAATTAATCTTCCTTAAAAATTAATCTTCCTTAAAAATGTAAAAAGTCATAAATCTAGTGAAGGGAAAGATCTATCCTGCCATTCCCTACTCCCTGGATTCATCCAATCCCTCGGCTTTTTTACCACTCACACAGCAAAGATGTTGATTCTTTTAGGGGCAAACCATGCAGTTTCCTTGGGCACAAAGATGGAATGAAGTTTTGGGCATGATTCACTCCAGAGGTCAGTATGGTCCAGACCTCACCAGGTCTGCATCCTTTCTGCAGTCTTCCCAAACTATTCCAGGAGGTGCCATGACACAAAGTGGAAGAAAGACGTGGAGGTGCTGGAACAGGTCCAGAGAAGGGCATTAGATTTGGGGAAGGGTCTGGAGCACAGGTGTGATGAGAAGAGGCTGTGGGATCTGAGGGAGCTCTGCCTGGAGAAAAGGAGGTTCAGGGAGGACCTTTCCACTCCCTACAGCTGCCTGGCAGGAGGGTGCATGGGTTACATGCCCAGTGCCTACTTCTTCTAGAAGGAGGAGTAAAAACTGCATAAAGAGAAACACTTCTGAAGGTATATAAGATATGCTGACACAATTAAAAGTAATCATGGCATAGGATATTTTGTAATATCCGTATTCATTCACAGCTCCTCCCAGTGTGAGGACTGGTACAATAAACCCAAAAGCTGATGACTTTGATATCAAACACATTGGTGAAGAGTTCTAGTATGGGAGAAGACAGTGTTTTAAAATGTTATGATGGTTCTGAAAGAGAAGGTTCTTGAAAATGGGAGCAAAGTATTTCATGTGCCAATGAAGCATTTAAAAGACAAAGGGATGCAGGCACGAGGTCACAATGAGACCTGGGAAATTAATCTTCCAAAATTCTTTCTGGATCAGAGAAAGGAATATGGCTGTAAAGGTCAAAGAAGATACTGCAGTTATTTAGATGTGAGAAGACAAGAATTTGAGCAATGTGGATGAAATTAAAAGGGTGGATCTAAGGAAGGTTGTGTGAGATCCTGCTGCAATGTGGATGTTCACCATCTCCCAAGTGCATCATTTCTGCACAATCCCTGTCTGATGTGTGCAAGTTCAGAAGAACCCAACATTTGATCATCAATTAATAGAATGATTGCCCTTTATGATAGTAGGTTAAATGTTGTGGGTTTTCTTAAGAAGATACTAATGAGTTGTAGGTTTGAGTGCCTTGTGCTAAGATTCAGATCTGCAATCTGCTTCAAAGAGGCTTTTGAAGTCTTGAGGGAAACAAGCTTTTAGCTTTCAGGGAAAGTGAGAGTACATGATCTCAACTTGCTGCTGATCTGATAACTCTTTAATTTTAATCACCCTGACAGTCTGTGGTAAACCATGTGGTTAACTATTTCGGGTGCAATCGCTTCTCTCAAAGCCACAGTCTGATGTAGTTTACAAGGCAAATGCTTTGATAACACAAAGATACAAAGGGATTAAAACAACCCTTATGCAGATTAGCTGTTAAACTGCTCACATACTTTTAGTTGTTGTCTTCTTCAACCTTTGTGACTTTTACTAAACAGCAAGACAATGTAAAGTGAGATGGGTAGAAAATATCAAAGTGAGGAAATGAAAGAAAAGGGCATTGCAGGGCTGGAAGTCTCTGTTGGTCTTTCAAGGAGAAGGCACTTTGGAAGTCAAGGGCAGACACCAAATGATGAACAGTTATCAGAGACTTGAGGGCCTTTTGCAGTCATTTCTGCTGGTTTTTAAGGCTGCATTAATTATAGCTGCAGAAAATGCAAGGATATGATGACTAAGAAATTTCACTCCTGGTAGCTGTTACTGTTGTGCATTAGCACAAAAGGCCACAGATTGTGCACCCAAAGATCCAGAATGCCAGCCCTGGTGCAACCAGACTATTTGATCCTTTAATTTCTCATCCTTTAGGCCTTAAAAAATCATTAAGTAGTGCCTTTATCAACCTCTGGATGCCCAGCTCAGCTTGAGCAGGCTTTTCAAATGCACTGAAATGATTTAACTTAATTCATTCCAGCTGACTGAGAAATATATTTAGACGTGATTTGCTGATGACACAACACTTCATGTCCTTGTTTTGGGACAAGTTATATTTAGATTTGCAACCTTATTTCACAGTAAGCTGCTCTTTGGTGTCCTCAGACAGAACTGAGAGTCTACACCCATTCCCAAAGTTTGCTTGGAGCTGATTGCAACTTTTAATTGCTTACTTTTGCCTATTGCACCTCACTCCATAGACTCCATGCACACTCTGGTGTGGGTAGCTGCTCTCCAAAACGATTGTGTACAGCTTCATTAAGAAAATGTTGATAGTGTTTCATGTTGTCCATCTGCTGGACATGTCTAGTATTGAGAACGAGGATGCCCTTGATGCATAAAGTAAAATGCCAGGCTGTCCTGATTCTCGGGCTTTCCATTTGCAGGTATTTGCCCACGTCTTCCAAGGCCTGAATTTGCTGATGTTATTGCTGAAATGTATCCACCACAGACCAAACTGTATTATGAGTGTGACCCTGGCTATGACAGAGAAGCTGGTGCATACCTAGGAATTCAGTGTAAGAGTGAACAGCAGGGTGCTGTTTGGGAATACCAACTATTTAAATGCTTTGGTGAGTGAGTGTTGTTTTTTTTCCTGTACATAGAGGTGTTTCTCCAATGTGTTACTTGGTATAAAATAAATCTGAGCATTAACAAAAGATCTTTTGTGCTTATTTTTCTAAGTTAGAATTTGAAACAGTTCTATCCAACTTGTAAAAGCTTGGGTGCTCTGGCACTTTGTTCCAATATTTGTCCTGCTGTAAACTCAACAAATGTAACTTCTCCACAGATGAGAAAAATTTGTTGTCAGTGGCTCCCACGATGGAGTTAGAACTTACACAGAAGCCAGAAAGAGAACCAAGGAGCCCTGCAGCCCAGAAGCAACAAGACCTTTCAGAGTCCAAACAAAAAGGTAAATAAGAGCTCATTTAATACTGTAATGCTTCTCCTGCTGATTTTCATGGAAGTAGTGTAAAAATGGTGAATAATTTTCAATTATTTCACAGATGGAAAGAAATTATTTCTGTAATATCTTGGCTGAATAATGGATATGGTGTAAGCAAATGAGTGTTTTGTACCCTAACAAAGAATTAGAAAGGGTTGGTATATCCTGCTTGTCTATATTTTCTAAGAACACAAGATTTTCAGGAACAGAAGCAGTATATAAAATCTGTCTGCTTTAACCTTGTGCTGCCTTGTGCTCCCACAGATTTCTGTGGTCCTCCCAAGACTGTTCCACATGCCTCCATAACTCTGCCCCAAAAGCATTACGTGGGACAAGTCTTACATTTCAAATGCCAGACAGGTTATGATAAAAGACCCCCCACCTTTGGCAGCAGAACGTGCAAGGAGGTGAACGGCAAAATCGTCTGGACCCCCCTTGATATGAGATGCACCAATGACAGCAACCAGTGGCCACCACAGACCATTGGGCCAGGTAAGATGGTTGTGATTACACCACAACAATGTCCTGACCTGCTCATGTGGGGTTCGGACCCCCACAACTCTTGTGGGGAGAGTGGGAGCTTCAAAAAAGTTTACTAAAGAATCCCTGCCACTGAGAGGAAGAAAGAACTCCTTTGTGTACTTAAACACCTTCAGAGAAAGGGGTTTAAATGAAGGCAAATCCTTCCTTAGTCTCAGATTTTGTCAACAGTTTGAATTTAAGGAATCACTCTATCCTGCAAGTTCTATTGATGGCAAATCAGATGTATTTATATAAAAATTAATTGTTTATTAAGACTAATGATCAGGAGGTAACAGACAAAAGATCTTCACTACACAGTATAAAGCTAAGAGAACTACTAACAGATTATACATAACATAAAACAGTGCAATGTATCCAGATATCTATATTAAAGCCAAAAAAAGAAATAGTATTGATTAGGAGTCAAATGTAACTTACCACTGAAATGATGATAATGTACACAGACAGATTTCTTCACTTAATCCTTTGGGAAGTAACTGTGAAATAGATGTCCCTAATTACAGGAGAAACTCCACACATTTCCAGGAAAATAAACAGATTTCTGCTATGTGAAAGTTTGCTGTGGCTTTTATAGCTGTAAAATGAATGGCTGTCAGTGAGAAATTCAGCCTATTTTGTCATTCCAGCCCTTGTGACTATACCAGACCACTGCACACACTGTTCCAGCCCAGGACTTTCTCCCCTGTTTCATAAATCTGTTTCCCTGTGGTCCCTGGGAGTGCTCCCAGTACAAAAGTCACAGTTTGCTGTCTGGTCTTTTCTTTTCCATCATGATACCATTGAAGATTTCATTTGGTGCTACCAGCATAAGAGAACTTCTTGCTGTGATGGATATAACCCATCAACAAACCAGTCCTAGAAGATAATACAGGATATTGAAATTACGTATATTTAAAAAGTACAAATATTATAAAAAAATTAAATTGGGATTGTAAAAAACATGGGACTGGATCAGAAAAGAAGTCCCCTCAGCCTTTAATTCAAGAGAATTAATTTTTATTTCAGTTTCCTGCAAAATGCTCTCAAACCTCAGCAAGGTCAGATCCTTGCAAAGAGAACATCAAATATTTATTCCCCTAAGGTGTTGCCTTTGTGTTTATTATGATGTGATGTATGTAATGGGGCTGGAGCTTTCTCAGTTCAGCATTCAGCACAAAAGAAATTTATCAAATAACCACTATTACAAGATGTCTTGTTAAAAGTCTATCCATATCTCATACTGGGGCAAGTTTAGAGCTTCCTTTCCAGGATAAGAGAGAAATTAAATTAATTTCTTGTACCAGAAAAGTTTTAGTTTACATTTCTGGGCAAACAACTGGTCCTGGTTGAAACCATGTTTCCAAGTACTAGCTTGGCACCTTTGAAGTCATCATTCCAGTCTCATATGAAGTAAAGACCTTACATAGATTCCATTCCAGTTTACTTCATGCCCACCATTAACAGGTATCAGATCAGAAGAGATGTTATTATCCAGGCTGGAAAGATCTACTGATGGCCAAGAAACAAACACGGCAATTTTCAAGTGTTCTGTGCAGAGGGCAAGCTGTCAGACTCCACCCTTGGCACTGCTTTGGTGTCGGAATGAGCTGGCTCTTTGCCTCACTCTGTCCTCATCCCTGCTCTGGTGCTCTTCATCAGAAGAGCAAATTGATACAAATATCAAGAATTTCTCTCTCTCCATAGGTTTGACTCTTCTGTCCTCTTTCCCTATTACTTCAGGGACACTGCCAGTGACAGGTATGTTGTTTTATTAAAGACTTCACTCAATCACCCAGAGCACTTAGTTGGTCTTTCAGTTTGTTGTTCTATTCCAAAGAGATCCATTTCTGTTAGAAATGCTACTAAATACGCTACAAGACAAATCTATATCCATGTATTGTGTGAGAAGTCAGTAAAGACAGTATAAACAGATTGTTTAAGCACTAAAGCTTTTATAAAGAAGTTTTCAAAGATTCATAAGGAATGTAAAAGAAAACAGATCAACCAAAAGTATGTTTTTTAAATGGAGCCATTTTCAGATTCTTCTCTGAGATTTTATGTGAATTCAACAAATCAGTTCAACTGGAAAAAAGCAGGAAAAAAAGTAAATATTTAAATGCTGAGTTTTTTTCACATTTTCAAAGGAATAAAAAAAAGATGGGCAAATAGAACATTTCTTCACAGCTAAACTAGCACATTTAGATCAGTCTGAAGATATTTTCTTCTCCCTCTTCCCCATCTTCCACTCAGACATTAGCTGATGAAATAGAAATTGTGTCTTACTGTACATATGTTCAAGACTTTGCACAAAGGCTTTTGATTCCAGCTGGAGTCTGTAGAAAACTGCGGTGCATGTTATGGTGAGAAGGAGTAATGGAGTGAGATGAAGGAAGGGAAGGAGGAGTTTTGCAAACTACTCCAGAGACCACAACATCAGTAGTCCCTGGTTATTTCACTGTGGTCATTCTCTAGTTGCCTAAGTCCCTTCTGGTTGGGTCCTGGGAGCAGTGGAGCAACATGGAAAATTTCCTACCTCAGGGCAGAGGGGCAAGATGAGAGCCTATCCCTAATCTTGCCTGTTTCTCCCCATTGGAAAAAATACAATAATTAAGATAACTCCAGGTGCTAATCATATTGATTTTCAGGTTTTACAGCTATCTGGTTTGTTCTGCTTATGATTCCCACTGCCTTTGTGTGATTCACCAAGCAGACAATAAGGTAAGTGGGACAGAATGAGGAAAATGTGAAATCAAACAAAAAAATCTGTAGAGGTGGAAGAATTATCAACTGGATCAGCCTTTCCCTATTGCAGTGCTTAGATTTCTAGACCTCTTCTTTGGTTTTAAATATGACCCTGGATTGTCTGATTCAGCTATTAAATACTGGCACAAGGAAAGAAGGAATCAGAGCTTTTGAAATCAAAAAATCTCAGACCAAGTTGCCCAGAGAGGCTGTGGACTCCTCATCCCTGGAAGTATCCAAGGCCAGGCTGGATGGGGCTTGGAGGAACCTGGGATAGTGGAAGGTGTCCCTGCCCATGGCAAGGGAATGGAATGAGATGGGCTTTAAGATCCCTTCCAACCCAGATCATTCTGTGATTCTATAATTCTAAAAAGCAGTCTTTGTCCCTTTGTCTCAGTGGAACTGAGAATGGCAATTCAAATAATGGATGAGAGATTAATTCTGTGGGAAAATTAAGGTTAATTATGCAAATACATTGTTTCAGATAGATTATCAGTCTTTTTCTCTCTGGCCAAACTGTGGGAAGTCTGGGGGAGCATCTGCCACCACAACCATGTAATTCTGTTTTCTTCATCCCCTGATTTCAGAGTTGCGTCATGACAACTTTGTACTTCAGATTTATTTCAGTCTGGCCTCCTCCCTGTTTCTGTTACTACACTGAGATGCACCAAGGCTGTTCCTGTTCACAGGCTCCCCAGCCTAGTTAAGCCAAGATGTCCCTATTTAACATTTGGGAATTCTTCTCTTCTCCTCTCTCTTTGCTAATCCTCGTCCCTGTTTCTCTTCATGTTCCTTACTAATTACTGATACTTCTTAGCTAAATGGGGATTTTTCTTAAAAAGTGAGAAGGAATGTCCTCAGGAAATCACATCAGAAACAGATTTTTGTCAATTAATGACTGGATAATGCCATATAAAGTGTAAACAATGCTTTGAAACGTGCTTTAGTGAGGATAGTCAACCATGGTGCAGATTGCCCTGGCCATTGTAGTATTTCTGAAAATATGCTATGTGAAAAAGTGTCAAGAATGATCCACATTTTACCAGCTCTGTGGTGGAATAAAGGTGAAATAGCCAATGCCAGATGAAATAGTAACTGACAATGAAATGTAAATGAAATAGTAAATGACAATGAGAGTAACTGGGATCCTAAATTATGTCTTTGTAAAAAATACTCTGTTGTTTCTCATAGTAAATATAGAAGAAGCCATAGAAAACCTGCTTCTTCCCACCTGTAGTAAAGTCTTTTTCCTGTTGTAGGGAAGACTTCTCAGGGAATTGTGGCATTCAGATGCAAACTTGTGAAATTAATGACTTGCCACAGAAGAAACCAGAATGTACCAGTGACCCCAAGACCAGCAGTGGCAAATGAGGAGGAGGCCTGGACACTCAAATCCAACGTGTGGAGGAGGCAGAAGATGTTACAGCTTAACTCTTATGGGGACAGCATGACTTTCCACCTACAGAGTGCTGGTAGGAGGACCGCACCCCATCACTGACAGATGGGGAAGGAGCCCTGCCTAAAACTACTTCCCAAACCCACTTCTCCTCCTCCTACCATGCAGCAGATATATTTCTAATATAACTGCAGCCCCTCCCAAGCCACCTGGAGTACATATGGACCATTCTCCCAAGCACATGAAATGGTGCCTCCATCATTTCAGCCCACACACCACCCTCCCCACAAACAGAGCAGCTTTGCTGGACACATTTGCTGATGTCCCCCTGCCTCTTCCCCACCCAGGTGGGTCAGGCACAATTTTCTCCTCAAATTGTTCCCCTTGGAAATGAAACCCCTTCACCCCCTGCATTGCAGCTGAAAATCTGACTGTACTCCTTTATGGTTCACTATATCCATGCATTCCTCATCACTCCCCTCCTCACAATTATTTTGGATTTGTGCCTTCCATGACAGTTCCTACATCATTCCTCCAGCTCAGACAAGGATGGTGCAGATCATGGCAGCTGATTAATTTGACAGCTCCTTTCGTAGCTACAGAGCATGACAGAGCCCAGTGCAGAGGCATCTGAGGACAGGCTCAAGCACATATAATACTTGACATGTTCTTGTATTGTTGGGAATTTGCAAGGTCTGGATATTCTTCTGCCTCTTTTTAGCCATGCTTATCTGGGTGAGATGGGCTTCACCTGTCTGAATGCAAGTATCTGTGTCTGAGGAAGGCAGTGGGGAGGAGCAAGTCCCTTTAGAGAGCAGTTTATGTCACCCTATTGCCTAGATATATATAATAATAAATATATATAATATACAATAATATATATATTATTATTCTGTAATATATGTATGTGAATATGTATTTATTTATACACACACAGAGATATATAGTTACCTATGTATATATACAGGCCAAATGACTCAGGGTCATGACCTGTTTCTCTGTATTGACTTTAACAATGTCCAGATTCACCAGATTAACTACAAATGCTTACATGGCATATGGCAAAAGCCAAATGAGATGGATCTCTTCCTTAGAATTCAGAAGACATGAGGTAGTTTTGGCATAGTTTTCTATTTCAAGATGGAGTGTATGTGATATTGGTTTACTGGTTAGGATTACTGTTGAGTCATTCTCACTCTATAGCCTTGATGTTTATATTTCCCATGGCTTATTTTATTCCTGTTGGAACAGGACTTATTTGTATTACATATCTTATCACATGAACCCTCAGTAAGTTGATGGATAACATCAGGTATGCTGGGAATATTGATCTGCTGGAAGGCAGGTTTTCTCTCTCTGGGGTACACACTGAGATATCTGTGGGTGTTCAGCCTGGAGAACAGATGACTCCAGGAAGACCTTGGAGCCACTTCCAGTGCTGAAAGGTGCTCCAGCAGAGCTGAAGAAGTACTTTGGACATGGGCATGAAGTGACAGGAAAAAGGGGACTGGCTTCCCACTGCCAGAAGGCAGGGTTAGATTATATATTAGGGATACATTCTTAACTGTGAGGGTGACGAGGCACAGGCTGCCCAGAGAGGCTGTGGCTGCCCCATCCTGGAAGTGTCCTAGGCCAGGTTGGACAGGGCTTGGAGCATCCTGGAATAGTGGAAGGTGTCCATGCCCATGGCAGGGGGTTGGAACTGGATGATCTTTCATGTCCCTTCCAACTCAAACCATTCCATAGTTCAACGAAGTCCCAGGGAGTGGGACTCATGAGTTGTTTTTCCCCATTTCCCATAGTAGTAGAGCAGCTTAAAACAAATTTTCTGCAGCTGTTAAAAGAAAACAATGTGATATGTTCACCTGGAATATCTGCATGTGTATTCACAAGAGCTGGCTTATACATTCCCAAACTATGGGGTCAATAGCTCAAATGTTCTGCCTTCTTCACCGTGCTCTCTGATAATCACAATCTGTGTGGTACTCTTAAACTTCTGTTTTCTAGAGACTTCTCATGCTTGAAACTGGAAGATGCTTAGCAGCCAAACCTTCTCCTCATTCATTTTTTTCTTTTATTTTTTTCCCATAAAAATCAAGATAAAAACACTTGCTTTTAAATCTTTTTACATATCTAAGATTCAGAATTTACCTAGACACAAAGTGTGGGTAGTCATAGTCATTAAATTCCACCTGCATATAAACCAGCATGAGATGGACAGAGATATATCACTGCTCCTAGCATTTACTTTCTGAAGGATGGAGGCAGTGCAACCTGTTTACTTCCAGCTCAGAAACACTGGTTCAGCCTTCTTGAGATTGCGGGTTTTTCTATCATATTTATATCACACAATTTCATTTGCTTTGGGCTTTGAATATTTTGTGAAGGTACTGGGGAAAAATGTAACTTAATATGAAAAGAAAAACAAAAGGATGCAAACTTGCACTCCCAAGGTACAGTACCACTGTTGAATAGTGTTGGCATTTTCTGGACTTCTTCAGTGTTTGATGTAAAACCCCTCAAACCCATCGGCACAGCAGAACCATCCATCCAGCACTTGACACAGATCAGGCTGATCTTGAGTGTATATTCCCTTTTAGTTCTCTTCAGTTTATGGATCTGCCTCCTTGGAACGTTCTTTAGATTATGAAGCATTTGAGGATTTGAGTTTACAATGAATCACAAATCAGCAGTTCCTTATAAATAATGTCAGGTAAAACCGGTCTTTGCTTAAATAGTTGCTGCTTTCAGAGTAAACATGAATGTGACCTGGATTCTCAGGAGCAGCTCATGTTGTGGCATTTGAGTATTCCTTATAATGGATCTGATGTTTACACAGACATGAGTAATCATCTGGATAATTTTTCTGAGCCCCTCTTAAATGGAGTGCCATCCACCAGGGGAGGATACATTTGAAAGTGCAAAAAGACTTGATATATTTGGGTTTTGTTGTTGGCTGTTGGAGCTCCAATATTTGTATGGTTGCTGTGTGAAATCTGAATTTGTAAATTCCATTGGAGGAGAGCGAAGACAATAGCCAAGAGCAACAATTAAAACAATAATAGGGAAATTCTCCTATTGTGTAATTAGTTTGAATAGGTTTGGTGGTTCTTGTGTACATGGAGTGTAACTTCACAGGATTCCGTCCAGGTACACAACAGATAAGTAGTTCCACAGAAATCATAGGAGATAAAATCTTATAAAGCTTTCCTAACAGGTGTGGCCTTTGTATTCAGAGGCTAAGATGGTTAAATAAACATCTAATATTGACCTAATTTTTAATCTGACTTTGGATATAAAAATAACACATGAAAATAAACATTTGAGTTTTGATAAATTTAACTTTCCTCTCCTCTAACAGATCCCAACAAAATAAAGCAATTAGATTAGTGGAAGTAATATTTTTTTTTTTCCTTTTCTAGATTAGCATTTAATTTAAGACAGGAAACTCCCAGCAGGACCTCCTGTGAGACTCAGGAACGGCCCTCATATCTTTGATCATCACTTCTCAGGAGAAAGCCTCTCCGTGCAGGGTGAGATGAATAGATGTGCATTTCCCCTGGCCAAGCATCTGGAGATTGGCCTGGCAGCACCAAAAACAGGAGGTGTTTCATGCAGAACCAACACAGTACGTTTGCTGCCTACATGGGAGAGATCCAGTAGCTCCCATGTGTTCAACCCAGCAGATGGGGATGTGCCCAGGCAATGGAAAAGCACCTGGAAGCACTTCCCAGGCTGCCTTCCCAATGAGCAGCCAAAGATACTCCTGGGTGAACCAAAGGAGCTTTGCCCAGCAGAGGCCAGATTATGACAATGTCTTGATTTTTTTATTTCTTCTCTTTCAGAGCAGCACTTAAGAATTGGTTCATCTAATGCAATCTGAACCCTTGCTGTTATTGGAAAAGGGCTAAGCAAGCTGCGATCCAACCCACTTTGCAGTGAAGTGGCTTTAGGTCACAGTGTCCCCTCACAGCTCCCAGCAAAAATAATTTTTCCTTAGTGTCTAAAATCCCTGTGACACACTGGACCCAGAGCTCTCCCCAAAGATGGACACACAGAGTAAACTGCAAAATTACCCTCCCATGTCAGTGCAGCTGCCTCTTTCCAGGGAACAGAGGTGCTTCCCACCCCACTGTGGGCATGGGCCGGCTCTGGGCTCAGCAAAGGGTTGTATCCCTGTTCCACATTCACACGAGGCTCAGCAGAAAACAGAGGCAATCCCAGATAAAAGGTGGCTGGCAGCATGCTTGTGGAGCTGGGGCAGCCCTCTGCTCAGCTCCAAGCTGGGCTCCTGTGAGAAGCACAGATTGGAAAAGGGCTCTGAGATCATGGAGTCCAACCTCTGACCTATCCTCACCTGGTCAGCTGGACCATGGCATTGAGTGCCACATCCAGTCTCCAGAGACTGGGATTCCACCACATCCTCAGGCAGTCCATTCCAATGTTGTATCACCCTTCATGAGAAGAAATTCCTCCTGATGTCCCACCAGAATCTCCCCAGGTGCAGGTTGAGGTCTTGTCCTCTCATCCTCTTGCTGGTTGCTTAGGAGAAAATGCTGACCCCCACCTGGCTACACCCCCTTTTTAGGGAGCTGTAGAGAGAAATAATCTCTCAGAGCCCCCCCATTCAGGGCTAAAGGACTCCAGCAGCCTCAGCTGCTCCTCACAGGCCTTACCCTCCAGGGCCTTCACTAGCGTCAGGGCCTTTCCCTGCACTGGCTGCAAAGGTGGCCTCAGCCCGTGGATCCAGCCTGTCCAGATCCCTCTGCAGAGCCTTCCTGCCCTCCAGCAGGCTGAGTCTCCCACCAAACTTGATATCATCTGTGATCCTACTGAGGGTTCACTGGATGCCCTCATCCAAATCAGTAAAGTCAGATCAGGCCTGACACTGATCCCTGGGGGATGCTGCTTGCAGCCAGACGCCAGCTGGATGTGGCACTGTTCACCAACACTCTCTGGGCCTGGACATCCAGACAGTTCCTGACCCAGCCAACAGAGCACCCCTCCAAGCTGTGGGCTGATGGCTTTTGCAGGAGAATGCCATGGGAGATTGTGCCAAAGGCTTTGTTGAAGTCCAGGTAGACAATTCCACAGCCTCCCCCCTCATCTACTAGGCCATCATCTGGTCATCAAAGGAGATCAGGCTCTCTAGGCAGGACCTGCCTTTCCTAAACCTCTACTGGCTAGGACTTTGGTTATCCTGAATGTGCTGTGTGATCACACAGGACAATCTGCTCCATAACCCTTCTGGGAAGCAGGGTCAGGTGGACATGCTTATAGCTTCTCCTACCAGGCCTGCTTGTGGATGGGTGTCACAATGGGCAAACTCCAGCCATCTGGGACTTCCCCAGTCACCCAGCGCTGGTTAGAACTGATGGAAAGCAGTACTCCTCATATATGAAATAAGGCAGAATCCAAGCTGATCCTTTTCTCTGTTTGGCTTCCCATGTATTTCACAAGCTTGCTGTGGATGGCAGGGCATTTCTGATTACTGCCAGGGGTAAAGGTCCTGGGAAAAGCCTGACAAGTTGATAGAAGTGGCACTGGTGGGATTGATGTGTTGGTTTTGCACAGCCTGGGTTTTGGTAGTGGAGGGGCCACAGAGGTGGCTTCTGTGAGAAGCTGCTAGAAGCTTCTACGGTGTCTGGCAGATCCAGTCCCTAATGGCTCTGAAGATGGACATACTGCTGGCCACAGCTGGGCCAATTAGAGCTGTTGGTAACACCTCTGCAATAACATCTTTAAGAAGAAAATAAAAACAAAGTGGGGTCTGCAGTTTTAATTCCAGCCAGTGAAGAGGAGGAGGTGAGAGCATGTGAGGGAAACAACATGGGGACACCAGGGTCAGTAGAGAAGGTGAGAGAGGAGGTGCTTCGGGCCCCGGAGCCAAGATTACACTGCAGGCTGTGGCGAAGATGACGTGGAAGCAGCAGTGCCCTGCAGTCCACAAGGATCCACAGGGGATGCAGAGTTCCTCCTGCAGCCCGTGAGGGAGCAGGTGGATGCCTGGAGGAGGCTGTGATCTAGTGGAAGATACGGTGAAGAGAGGGGTTGCCCTGCTCCCAGGCTGGAGCAGGATTGCACCCTGTGGAAGAATGGCTCATGCTGCAGCAGTTTTGGGAGGCCTGTGTACCTATGGGAGGGACTCACATTGCAAGAGTTTTGTCAGGACTGCTGCTAGTGAGAGTGGAGTCATGCTGGAGAAGTTCAAGGAGACCTGTCTCCTGTGGGAAGGACCCCACAGTGCATTAGAGGAGGGACTCCTCTCCCTGAGCATTGGAAGAAAACCTTGGGTGATGAACTGAACAAATCCCCCCAACTCTGTCTCCCTGTGCTGTTGGTGAGAAGGCGGCAAGGGTTGGGGAAAAAAAAGGTGTTCTTTTTTTTTTAAAGAGGTACTTTACTTCTCATTATCCTCCTTTGATTTTGCTAATAATGAACTCACTTTCTATCTCTAACTTGAACGTGTTTTTCCCTTGGAATGTTTTCCCCCAGTCCTCATCTCAGCTCATGAAGCCTTCATTAATTTGTTTTTCTCTCCTCTGTCCAGACATATCATGGGAGGGTGAGTGGGCAGCTTTTGTGGCTGCCTGGTACTTGCCAGTGTCAAACCACAACAGTTGGTCAAGCAGCCAGTGGTTCCAGAGCTGGGAATAGAGGGCAGTGGACATGGGATGAGCAGTGGTGAGGATGAGTGTGGTCTCAAGCCCCAGCAGGCATACAGAGGTGGGTGAGCAAGTCAGAGGGAACCCCCTGAGGTACCGCAGAGGTGTCTGCAGATGTGCCTCAGCCTGAAATTGCACTGATGCTTTCATCCCATCAGGGGCTGTGTCAGCATTTGATCCCAGGAGAAAAAAAACATCCAGGCAGAGAACCTGGGATCTCAGGAGCTATCCAGCAAAGAGGGTGAGAGTGATGTCCTCACTTTGTTCTCCTAAAAGGCCAAATCTTCTCCTCGGTCTCGGTGCAGCCCAGCTGGCACAAGGCAGGGCTCTTGCTGCTCTGCCCATGGCAGCTGGAGGTAACAGGAGCAGAGCTTCCTGGTGCTGCCAGGCAGTGCCCCGTGTCTGTGCTGGGATCTGGTTCCCTGTGCTCAGGTGTCCAGAGCCTCCAGAGCTGCCCCAGGGGAATGGGCCTGGCCTCTGGCTGCTGGCCCAGGTGAGGGTGGGTGTTGGCCAGGGTTCTGCAGCACATCAGCCAGCGCCAGTGGGGTTCTCCAGACCTCAGGGCAGCTGCAGTGGCCCTGGGTGCATCTCCTTATGCCGCTGAGGACAGCCTGGAGCTCTGCTGGCTGCGGTCAGAGCTGGGACACAGCACACCTGGAGACACCTGCATGGGGCTGCCCTATATGTTCATTCCCTTTTACAGGAGAATAACTGGTGTCTGATGCTGACACTTGTGTGGCTGTCATGGCATCCTCAAATTGCATTTGGACACCCAGTGTCCTGTGAGAATGCTCTGGACACTGTGACATTACTGCTGGTGGTAGAAATCTCAGTGAGGAGCAACCAGTGGTTTATATAAATGTGACTCTGCAATCCAGCACTGCAACAAATATCTTTTATTGTAAGCTCTTGCAAACTAAATGATGTGGCACACACTGATCTTTTACAACCATTGAATACATTTCCCCAAATCAGTTTCCCATCAATCTGCAGAAAAGCTTCAGAAGCAGAGCAGAGATTGAAGGTATCCAAGCAGGGCATCACAGGGATTTAGCTCTGGCTGCTCAAAGCTTTCTCTGTATCTGATGCCAAAGCCTGCCTGTCTGATACAACAGCTGCTGCTCTCAAGGCACACTTTCAAAAGCAAGCAAACAAAAGCATGTCCCAGGATCACATCATCACTGAATTGTTGGGGTTTGGAGGGACTTCTCAAGATCTTCTAGTCCAGACTCCAGGCTCAAGCAGGATCAGCTAGAGCAGGTTGTCAGGACCATGTATTGTTGAGGTTTGAGTATTGTGAATCTCAGGGACAGCTAAGGGGGGAGAGGACTCCTTCCTGAGAGCTCTGTCCCGAGATGGGCAGCAGAGCAAAGCAGTTGGAAGCTCTGCCCACATCTTTGTGCCTTTGAGCAGAGGAGGAGGTGGCCTGAGGGACAGAGCTGGAAACACACTAGAGAATGAGGCAGCACAGACGCTGCACAGAACATTTGTCCCCCTCTACTCTGCTCTGCTGAGACCCCACCTGCAGTGCTGCCTCCAGCTCTGGGGCCCACAGCACAAGAAGGATATGGAGCTCTTGCAGTGGAGTCCAGTGGGGGTCATGAAGGTTCTCCGGTGGCTGGGAGCATGTCTGCTCTGGAGAGAGGCTGAGAGAGCTGGGGATGTTCAGCCTGGAGAAGAGGCCCGAGAGTGCAGTACCTGAAGGGTCTCTAAGAGGGCTGGAGAGGGTCTTTGGACAAGGGCATGAAAAGGAGTGACAGGACAAGAGGGAATGGTTTCACGCTGATGGAGGGCTGGGTTAGATTGGATATTATAAAGAAGTAAATCACTGTGAACAGGCTGTAA